GCGCGCGCATTCTGCAGAAGTTCTTTTGAGTAGAGAAGAGGGTTGACGACGTCACAAAAACTAAATTTGTGAAACTATTGGATAGGTTGGCATATCCTGAAAGAGCAAGATGAAAAATGCTCACTTACTAAAAATCAGACTATTAGTGCAAATTGTCGGGGAAATCCAAGCATTGTTATGCACCAATGACTCCAAAAAAAAATTGTTCTAGACAAGGCCTGGACCGTAAACGATTCAACCCAAGTCACTTTCAGAGGGATTTGTCCGGAGTCAACAGAGCGTAAAGGTGCTTATATCTACCCGCCAATTTGCACTTAAAAGCTGATTTTTGGCAAAAGGGCCTTCTTAATCTTGTTCTTTCTGAATATGCCATCCAATCCCATAATGTCACAAATTTTAATTTTTCTGACATCAAACTTCTCTTCACTATTCTGCAGATGCAACTGAGGCATCGAGCGGGGGCGAGTGGGGGGGCGGTGGGAGGGGTAAGAAATATAAATACAAAAAAATTACAATCTCATCTTGGGGTTGGCTTAAAAAGTCATTGACATGTTCAGTCATCACAGCTCCAGGCCAAAGTGACACGCAGGCAACATTCTGTTTCTTCAGCTCCACAGCCATGTCCGCAGCCATTCGATCATTCTATGTAAGATAACAACGCTTTAATACCTAATATTGATGCATTCAAGGTGACCCTAAAATAGGACCTAATATTTAAATCATAATTCAGAACAACATGCGTTTAAGCGGCAGAAGTAAGAACATATGGCTTGGAAATTCTCGCGAATTTCTTGAAGGGTTCTCAATTGATTGCCGCAAACACAAACTCCCAGGAAAAAAGAGAAAAAAACTACCACAAATATAGTTCCCTTGAGTTCTAATATAACTGAATTTCAATTTAAATGACTGGAAACTGAATTATGATCTTTTCACGCAATTGTACCAATAATCATGGTGAAATATCTGTAGGCTAAAGTTGTACCATGTTAGCTTTGCCATATAGTGTCTTAAACGCATTAATTCAGGAAGACTATAGTATTGTTTAACTTTAACCTTAAAAACTTCTAAATTTCCTGCCATTTTCCTCAGATTATCTATTCCGCACTCGAGAGCATGAAGTAGTCTATTCCACACCTGTTGCAAAAGTCATGAAGCACTGGAAAACAACAGTACACCCACCGTTCTTGCATCCCCTCTATACGGCAAACCGACAAAAACAATTTCTCGGTGCTAAAGTGAAAAGGCACATAAAAAAGAACAGTGGAAACCCGCTCTACGAACACCCGTATACTATGACCGACAGTTTTGTTTGTCCCGACAAAAAGTTCACATATTTTCTCTAAAAATAACCACACCGATTTATACGGACAACGGTCCCGAGGCACAAACTCTCATATATCATCAACCCCGATTATGGACAGTTCTCTTCTGCACACTGACTATAACTTAATTTCTTACCAATGAAAACCTAACAGAAAAGGCCAGTAACTTTTCAAAAGGTCTGCCTAATATTCAGCGCGCCTGGCTGAGTCTCTCAAACAAAAAGCGTCAATACAAAGTAACGCCATGGATTCCATTGTCATGTTTCAAGAACAGTACTTAAAAGGTTATTTTAGTCTGAGACAATGACACACGATCGAAAGATTTCTTTAGGATAAACTTGTTGGAGTTACAGTAAAGTAATTAAACAACGCTTTCTCGTTAAAATGTCTGCTTAATTCTTTGCATCGACAAAATATGCGCCCGTGACGTTTTTTTCTGAGAGCTCGCTTAATATGGACACCCGGATTTTAAGGACACTATGGCATGTCCCTCTGGTATTAGTATTGACCGGGTCCCACTGTAGTGTGTCTTACCGCAGCCTTTCCTACACCATATGCAACGTTGAAGAGATATCTCAATCCTCCGGGCGACGAAACGTTGACTATAAGTCCTTGTTTGGCAGGAACCATCACCTTGGCTGCATGCCACGCGGCAATGTAATTAGACCTGGAGGGAGAAAAGGGACACAAAGGATACAGCGATTTTCGCATGACCTTGAAAAATGGTTTTGGTAAGTGTTCGTTATTTGTTTTATCAGCCAATGGATGAAAAGATCAAAACATGGACTCTTCGTTTTCCCGCCAAACAAAATTCTAATATGGAGAAGGCATTGTTCGATTGGCCAATCGTGTTGCAGTATGACGTCAAAGTGAAGTATCGATTGCTTTCTAGAAAGTTCTAGGGCATGAAATTTTTTCACCCGAGAGTTCGCTTAACCAATCAAAAGCCACGCGCGTTTGTATCCGGTCGATAAACCAATCGAATCGCTCTATTTCCTTTCGATTGTTGTTTCTGTTTTGTTCGCATGTTTTCATCTCAAAGTCAAACAAAAATTGCTCTACCATTTGTTTATATCTTTCTATAAAATAACTAAGATAGTATGCGAGTTCTGATTGGTTAAAAGCCTATGGTTTATTGTGCCGGTAAACTCATAGTTTACTTAAAGTTATTTTATAAAAGCAATAGACCACACTTTCTGTGGGTTTACAAGCGTGATAACCCACTTGGGATGTTCGGGAGAACACTCGAAAAGCTTGTAAATCACGAGCCGAGGCTCGTGATTTACAAGCTTTTCAAGTGTTCTCCCAACATCCCAAGTGGGTTATCATGCCAGTAAACCCATAGAAGGTGTGGTCTATTGCTTAAGTAAAGAACCCGGGGCGAAGACTAATTTTATTAGGTCACTAAATCTCTTGGTCTTCTTTAGCCGATTGAACAGTGGTAATATAGGACACCAGTTTTGAAGAGCATTCAAACTTATCTCATGAACAGTCTCAAAGGAGGATACAGTGGAACCTCGATATAACGAATCTCTATATAAAGAATTCCTGCTTAAGTTTCGGTATCAATGGGGCACAAGTCATTTCGGAGGAATTAACCATTTTGAGCAAGTTTCACAAAAGGCTGTGTGCGAGTTGTAGTGTCAAAGTGCGTCGTGGGAGTGTTTTGGCGGACGAATTTTGACCCAGGTTCCTCTGCAACCTCGCAAATAAAGAACAATCCCGTGGTAGAATTCAGTTAAGTCTCATGTGAAACCACAAGTGGCCACTGAATGCAGAGAGTCAAGAAAGTATTGAAACGTGTAACTAAAACAATGCCTGCAACAGACTATTCCTTAAACATATGAATGTGCTAACCTGAGCCCCACATTATTCATTTGATCCCACATGCTTGTAGGCTAAAGATAAGACGGAAACTGTGAACAAAGGAGGGAAGAGAAAAAAAGAGAAGAAAAGAAAAGAGGATTTGAACGACAGAAACACATTGGGTGCAACCACAGCTTCTTAAAGAGGTCATTTCACGCTGTTTGCTATCATTTAAAAACGTTTTGCGTTTCAATTGAATTCCAAGTATAGTGCGTTTTCACTCACGTGACCAGCATCTATGCAAAATTATTGGAACAAAAGAGTGTTTACATAAGAAAAGAGTTGAACTCCCACAGGATTGGTTTGGGACACCAACATCACCGCCGTTTTATTGTTTTGAAACACCAATATGGCGGACGTGACGTCATGCAAAAACGATCTATAAGCACCGTTAAACACTTCAAACAAAATTACATGATTGGGAAGATGAAAATTTTGTGCGACTGGTCCGATTGCGTTTTTGCAATTTCTTTTAACATTTAGACCACACTTAGAATACCTAGGTCTTTTTGCATAAGTGTACTAGTTATACGGCAATGGATGATATTTACGGAGATGCATGTGAAATGGTCAGTTAAGTTCTAGGTCGATCATCAGAATTTTCAGCGCTTCTAACTAAGTCTTAACTAGAAAGAAAGTTTCACATGTTTTCAGGTTTAACTGAAGCCAGTGGCGGTTGCGAAATTATCGTTTAGGGTTTGTTTAACTGGCAAGACTATGAGCTTGAAATGTATTCTATATTTTAATTGCAAGTTGATTAAATGTTCTCCAAGAGAAATATAGATTAATATTTGGTGAAAGCAGAATTCTTTAAAACTGTCACTTATCAAAATAAATCCTTACCTGTTCATAAAATGGTTTTCCAACATTATCAAAAATCGCCTAAGCATAACACAAAAATAACTGTCAGTAACATATGTTCACTATAAGCATACTGATGCCAGAGACTTTTCAAGTGCGGGTTCCGGTTTCAGTGCCGCGAAAATAAAAAAAAGGCCCACAGGCCCAGAACAACCCCCCATCTCTCCCAAAAAAAAATGTCGTCTTGTTTCCATTGCAGAGACCTCATTCACCCAAAAAGGTCACATGTGAATTAAGTTTGCTGTTACTTTCTCCTCCTAGCCTGTGAGCAAGCTCTCCTGGGGTTTCCGGGGGTACGGGGGTGGGAGAGGGAAAAGGGAAGGAGAGCTTCCACTCGCATCTCATAAAAGTGAGTATCTGCGTCCCAGAATCGGATGCGAAATGCTGATTGGCTGATTTTTAATCAGGCGATGACGTTTTGTTCCCGCTGGAGAGCTTGCTTACAGGCTAAGAGGCGAGACACCTTTATTGGCTTGAAACCTTTCAAACCTCTCTCCTTTTTTGCCCCACCGCCAGATCGCCCCAGGAGAACTTCCTCGCAGGCTATTCTCCTCCTTGTTTTGAGAGGTTTTTCTCTGAGTGGGTATTTCTTAAAAATCATCATATCTACTTTGCAATGTTAGCGGTAAATCAGAATGGTAGATAAAGAAACACATTGTAGGGTTCGTACGGTTCAGTTATGGAAAACCTGGAAAGTCATAAAATTTAAGAACTTCATTTTTTTCCAGGCCTGGAAAAGTCATGGAATTCAATTGTTGGTCCTGGAAAGTCGTGGAAAATAAAAGTTATGTTTGGTAGATTAGTTACGGTAGAATGTTGAAGCAAGGGCAATGTAAGATTGAGATGAGTAACTAAATGGCACACATTTTTGGTGGACAAACAGTTTGTATCTGTTGAACTAAGTAAGGTCAAAAAATACCCCCAAAACAAGGAAAGTCTTGAAAATATTTTAAAATGAGAGCTAAAGCTAAGGTCATGGAATTTGAAGAGCTAAAAAGAGTACAAACCCTCAAATATTGTGGATGTGCTACCAGTTCAAATGGTACATGTATTTATTTATTTATCAGTTATTTGTTAAATAAAAGTCTATACCTTCACTCCACTGTAGGCATTGTTGACAAGGACATCCAATCGTCCATTTTGTTCTTTGTTGACTTGATCAAACAACTTTTGGACTTCTTCATCATTTCCATGGTCACACTGCACCGGTATACACTGTCCAGCACTCTCTTGTCCTATCTGAAAAAAATTAATCACTGGTTAATAAGAATTCTTGCAGGATGAACATAAAATGACTTCTAAGAAAATATAACAAAAGAAAAGGAATCAGTTGCATAAATTAGTCCATCTACAGTTGTTTCCCTGTGAGTCACTATATTTCAGCGAAGGCTTAACTGCAAATTTTAATATTGAATGCTGCTCACTGATTTAAATTGCACTGTTTCTTTATTGTGCCCAAAGACTGTCATACCCTACCAAAGACTGTCCTTTTGAAGCTTAAGCTTTGCATGGTTAAAGTCAATAGTAAACATATATAATTTATGCCCAACAATACCTCTCCATGGGTATTTCTGACAAACACTGAGACGCAAGTAACACGCTATTGATGAAGCAAGGATTCTGAGATGTTCTTGGAGACTAAAGCCATGATCACATCTGCATTCTGACGAAGTTTGACAACATTTAACAGTTGTGAAATGATGGCAAAGAAATCTGCTAAAAAGTGTGCTACAACAGGGTATGCTCAGAGTTTTTGTTATGCTGATTAAACCTGTTACACTTTCCTTTGTCATTGTTATGCATGGTTTCTTATTTTTGAGATCACCACGCAATTTAACCATTCTTGATATGCAACAATTTTGTTGAAAAAAAAACTGACGATTTGACAGAAAACGTGTGACAAAAATGACATCCACAGGTATACCCATACAAAGGCTCACTTTTCTGGTTTGTCCAGCCACATGCAAGGCGACCTGAACAAATCCCTTCTGAGCAGCCCCTCTTTGCAGCCGGCTGCTGAGTAACTTCAACATTAGAATTAAGGCCAGAATTTTCCAATTGAGCAGGTATGCAAAGAGAATTGCAAAAGCTACAGAATGTTATCTGATTACCTCCTCAGCTGTTTGCCACAGTGACCCAGTCTTACCCTCTGTGGCTTCAAGAGTCCTTCCTACCAAATAAAATAGTACCTTTACAAAATACATGTTCATGCAGAAAAACTGTTGTATATCTGGGGCAGATCTAGGATTTATTTTTCAGGGGGTCCCAAAAATGTCTGCTGAAAGTGGGAATATCTAGGGGGCCAGTCTGGGGGTAACACCCCTAGGAAATTATTATTAGCCCTTAGAAATAGACTCTTAATGGCTAGACAGTCATTAAATAGCCAAATTTTGTGTGGTTAATTCTCCCTAGGTTTTGAGGGTTGTCCAATATTCTGACAAATTTATGCATGGCATTGTATTGTATTGCCTTCACATATACTGCACAAAAGAACGAAGCAAGACAATGAGAAATTTAACAAAGCCATGCATAAATTTGTCAGAGTAATTTGGACAATAAGTATGTTGGTTTTTGTCATGTCTACTTAAATATATAAGTCAATTTACAGTTTCAGCTTAGTGAAACTTTAACCAACCCCCCACTGGTCCGCAGTCCGCAGTCTGCGTTTCACACTGACTGGATACTTAACATACTAATCTTAACTGTTAAGAGTCAGAGGAACCAAATCTTTATTTTGGTGCTACTTGTTTTCTTGAACAGGGGGGTACTCCCAGACCTTTCTTTTTTTTTCCGACATCTAAAGTATTCACTTGTTCCAATGCAATCAGTGCTTTTGAGCAATATAATCCATGGACCCACCCATTCTAGAAAAACTTGACATCTTTCCCATTAATCTCTCCGAATTAAGCTTTCTTCACAAACTTAAGATGCACAGTACCATGAGTAATATGTTGTCCAACACATCTCGATTCTAATCCCCAGTTTCCACGGTCTCCGCTAGGTACACCTGGGACCATGATCCCCATTTGGTGAGCACAAAAGAGAAACAAAAAAAGAAATGCTTGCATTTTTAGAGTCTTGCTGCTAAGCAAGCTCGACTTATTACAATAATGTCTCTTTAGAAAGGCAAGTCAAGTCTGAAACAGGGTAGGAGAAATCACATTATGTTTTGATAAATATATTATAATGATAGGGTAAGGGATTCAGGGAACAATGCTGCAAATGGCCAAAATGTTCCAGGAGTACACACCTTTCAGCATCTTTTAGAGAGGAGCCCTTAACAGAGGATTTATCAAACCATAAGACAATTTCCTGAAAAGTCAAACTGACCTGTAATATACACAGTGGCTCCTGCCTTGGCCAACATCAAGGCAATACCTTTACCAATCCCGCGAGATGCTCCTGTCACAATGCACACTTTTCCAGTCAATGAGGGGAGTTCTGACGTCATGGTGTAACTTGGTGATCTATTACATAACAATCATGGAAGATTATTACATGTACTAAAGATAATAAGCTGTTTAACCTGAATGCCACAGGATTTAAGTTACCTGGAAACATTACAAAAGCTTTTTTCAGTAGATTTTTAACATTATTTTTAGGGTTATGAAAATTAACTTATGTTGGATTGCATAAATATTTTATACAATGTTTGAATCAAGGAATAATTTTTTTTTCTTTTATAGACTTCCATCATTCCCATAATTTCCAGTGGTACACCCCCTGGGGTGGGTACATTTTTTGTAACCCACACATTAATGACTCTTTGATGACATTTTTATTTTTTAATACACAGAATTGTGTGTTAGGCAAATGATTTTTATAGTAGAGGGGATCTGGGGGCTGCTCCCCTACAGAGTTTTTAAATTTAGGGTCTTGGAAATGCCATTTCCTGCGTCTTCCACAGGACAGTTTCGGTAAATAAATAGAAAGGAAATGCAGCAGTTAATTGTTTATTTTACCCATCTCTTGTGTTATGGAATAATAAAAATAATGATAAACAAATATAATATAATGAGAAAAATTTATCAGTCATTCCAATTTAATACTATAAAAATGCAATCAGGAATTAAATAAAAAATCATTTTCTTCCAGATTTCAGCTGTACGCACAAGTGTATGTGCATAGGTCAGCTTTAAAACACAGAATCCGGAAATTGGAAATGGAATCATGGAAATGGAAACAGAAATGGAAAAGAAAACGGAATACGGAATATGTAAAAGAAGGTTCCACTGCTGACTGTTTTGAAAAAAATTATATAAGCAATAACAATATATTAATAAAAACGTAAGTTATCTGGGCAGAGAATACTGCTGTGTGCAGTTGATTTTGGTGAAAAGACTCTTAATACCACTTCCAGCAATGAATACAAACACCCAAGGGACAGCAAAGCGAGAAGAAAAACTATAGCTGAGACATCACCGACAATTAGGTTTTTCAGGAAGAGGTAAGTTATGTCAAGACAGACTTGACATTTAAACCTACAGTGATGTTGTTTATATCACTGAATGGTGTCATCATTCTTTCCAGGTGTCTTTTCTGGGTTGTCTTCAACAGTCTTCAATAAATAATGATTTTATTTATCCAATATGACCTACTCAAGAGAACCAAGGCTCAGTGGAATACAAAGAGAAGAGAGAACTGCACTTGCATTTGCTTGATTCCCTAACTGATTGCATCAAAAGAATGTGTATGTTTAATAAGTTTTTTCAACGTAAAATACGGACTTCAACGGAAACACAATTACACCAGTATTACATCAGCATTAAGCTTGTTGAAAGAGTTAAACTTATTGCCAAATGCCAGAAACTGTCGTCACATCACGGGTTGGTTACATGTTGAGTATTCTGGGGGACAATCACGCGTGGTCGGAGGACAACTACTACTGCTCTTGAAATGTGTCCTCAATGCATGCTAGAAAGGTAATGTTTAACTGTTTTTTTTACCTGTAAACTAGTGAATAAAAATTGCTTGTAAAAGTACTTTTTGGGTGTGAATAATGAAATTTCTTGGTCGGAAAAAGGTTCAGGATTTGGAGAACCGAGCGGCACACCCCCACCAAGAATTCCCAGGAGTACCCCTCCCCGCGCCCCCCTTTGGGGATTTTGGGGATTCCATTCCGGGATTGCATGTGTTAGTGTAGCCTTAACGGGCAAGCACAGGCTAGTTTAAGTGGAGATGCTAAGCAGGCTAAGGTCCTGCTGATGAATGATTCCAATGAAATGGCCAGTGTTGACCTTTCGCGTGATCGTTGCCATATTTATTTCACCTTTGTATTTTGGTTCTAAACTCGCAAGGATCAGCTCATTCCAACTCCCAAAGTTTATCATGACGGTTTTAAAGGAAGAAATCCATGGTTCATTTTTGGTCTCTCAAGAGAATTAACAAAAATATTCCTCACAAAGCACGATGAGCAGTAAAGTCCTGCATGCATTGAAAATGCAATATCTCTTACAATCTAAGCTTTCTTGTAGAACAGTTGACTGTGTTCGACTGTGATCGGCCAAGTTCGGTTATCCCTGAAAACGACATGACCTTTTTGCAAATGAAAATCGGTCGCTGAGAATGAAGTTAATAGCTATTTATGGTATGTGTAGCTCAACTGCTTGCAAGCATAAAACAATCAGTGGTGAACGTTTCTAATTGTTTTACACGCTATTCTATTTTAAGAACGTAAAATTGTACCAAGTAAAGAAGAGAGGAAACACCTACCTCAACTCTCTTCGAAATTCACGTCTTTTTACGATGAAGATGAGCAAACAAAATATAATCGTATACGCTTAAGCAGACCGTACGCATCTAAGCAAAGTCCGCTCCCAACGTGCACCGTCACTCTCCTGCATGAGTCATTACCCACGGCTCACACAAACATTGAAAGGTGGGTGGCCTGGGATCTGGGGTAGAGCACAGGTTCACCACGCTCTACTATGCCTGTTATTATTTGGGCGTGG